AAGAACGCACTTACTTACACTGATGGATTATTATGCATATGTCTCGGCGAGAAATCAAGCAACCTGCGAGAACGCCGTCCTGTGGTTAACACAGAAAGCAGACCAAATATAAGGATTGCAATTAGGGGAAATAATTGGTTGCTAATACAGGCAGGAGATGAGCACATACCACACTGGTTCCGAATAGTTTGTGGATGGAAGCATATACATTCACATTCATACAGGGCGTGTCTACATACAAACCCCACGGATGACAGAGAGATATATGTATGTATGTACCTGCAACAAGACGAGCAGGTCCATGAATGAATAAACAACACGGCTTACCAAAAGACAGGATATAACTGCGCCCAAAAACACAATTTGTAGTGTGATTTATAACATACTCCCTCCGTCCCAAAATAAGTGTCTCAACTTTGTACAAATTTGTACTAAGCTCAAGACACTTATTTTGGGACGGAGGGAGTATTAAACATGTGTGCAATGGCTCTGAGCCGGACTAATTCTCTTGTGATTGGGAGAGAACTTCTTGTCCATCCCAAGAGAATGGGTCGGAATCAAAAAGCTCCAAGCGACAGTGTTTCCCTGCTCAAAGCAACTAAAGCCAAAGCAAAGAAAAGGCCCAAATCTGATTCATGCTGATCCGGGTGCAAAAGCTGGCCATGTTGGTAGGTACATCTTCCGTAGGTAGGGGATACAAGAAGAAGGCATCACACCACAGGCCCATCAAGCAGGAAAGGAGATTCCGTGCCATGCATGTGCAAGCAAGCCACAAGGCTATTTCCTTCCATACTGCCATGCACACTTCATTCAAGTTAATCGTGAAATTCTAGCATTGGGGCAAAAGAGCATAATCCTCACAAGATGAAGGAAACACTTCATTACTGCTTGCCTTTCTGTGTTTCATCTTTTACAGGCTACTAGTTAGATTTACTTCTCATCCAATAACCACAATGTAATCTCTATATCTTTCAATCGGTCAAATGCAATTAATCATAGTGTTGGGCTGTTTGGCAATGTACAAGATTGTGGGTTTTCCAATTCTATCCAGATATGAGCAAGAACATTAGTATTAACCTTGTCAGCAAGTAACCAACCATCCACTAGCTCCGCACACGCTGAACTCCTCTTCACTCTCAACAGACCAGACGGAGAAAGCTCAGTTGCAGTCTTCCTGGCGAGCTGGCAACCAATAGTCGGCGCTTGTGCCTTACTCTGGATAGCCTGAATTAGCTCATCTAGCCTAAAATAGTGTAGTTCGTTCTTCATCACAGGGTAAGAAACTGCAATCTCCCCAAAACAGCATGTTCCACCATCCTGTACTTTAGTGTAAAATCCTGCCCAGGGACAAAAGGAAGACAATAAAAAACTCTAGATCTCCGGCAAGTCGTTTTCAAGTTAAAGATTCAAAAGAAACTCCAAAGTTGCCAGCAATGCAGACATAATCATGTGCCCTATACTTAATCATGTGTCCTCCCTATGTAATGAAATGGAAATAAAAATGATGGCATTAGCCCATAGAGTTGGCTGCTGGTGCTGGATCAAGCCTAAAGGTACATGTAAGTAGGTCAGTACTCAACCATATGAACATATGGAAGGTCATCCATATACAGGTAAAAGTTACATTACACTCCTACAAAGTATATAGGTTGCTGAAGTCTAAAATAACTGATTTTATCAATCGGGATCTTTATGTCAGAAATATTAACAAGAAGGCAGGCAATTGTGCGAGCTTGGACTACAAAGTAACTCGTTGACATTCCGTGTTCCATGCCATCTCTACTATTAAAGGGGGATCTGCCGTTGTCATGATGGTTCCACCTCCTCCTTACCACGTACGATCCCCCAACCCATCATTTTTCCCATCCCAGGGATCTGCCGTTATCATGATGGTTCCACCTCCTTACCACGTGCGATCCCCCTTCCCATTGTTTTTCCCATCCCCACCGATCCCCACCGGTTTTTTCCGGAACAAAAAGGAAACAACCCAACCCACACACACACGTCTCGCCTATGTGATCCCTAACTGCCGTGGGCCGCTTACCTCTACACATGCACGATCTGCTAGGGCGAAGGAAATTGCTACCCTATCGTCGCCTCCGATCGCACTCCCGCGCGCCATCGGCACCTGCCCTATCCACGTGAACTTCCACACTACCTGACCTCGTTCATCGTCATGCTCGCCATCATGCCGGCCGCCTTCCCTCCCTCCCTTCCTCCCTCTCTCTCTCTCTCTGGACAGGCAGTACTCATGTTCATCTCTCCCCTTCTCTCCCTCATATGCGATGTGCTTCCTCCTGTACACTACTCTCTTTGCCTCTTGTATTTTTACTTTTCAAGCAACCTTTTTGCCTCTTGTATCCTATAGCCCTAAGCACGACTTGTGCAAATCAAGATGAAAAATCTAGGTGGAGAGTTTGACAAAGAACAAAGTAAAAAAAAATTCTGTTCAACAAAAATCAAGTTTGTTCCTACACTTTGATATTATGATTTGTGGTATAGTAAACACAACTGCTGCTTATTCAGTAAATATGAGAATATAAATGGGTAGCATGGTCTAATAAATAGATTATGGTAATTTTCTGCAAGTTATTTTTATGAATGATAAAGATACAAAATTTATCATGTAATATTAAGATCTCACATATATCTCTATACACTTATGGCATCAAAGGTCTTTGTTTCCTAGAGACCAAAAATAGCTACAAGATCAAGTATTTTGTATGTTTTCTTTAAACTGAAAATTCTTATATTTATCTAGCAATCTTTTGCAGGTTGTGAGACTGCTCCATCATTCCATATTGCCGAGCTTCCTAAAAATGGAGAGGGGACTTGTTGCAGACTAATAATCTATGATCTCACGTGTTATGTTTTTGGTATCATTTATTTGTCGAACATTTTGAATAAATGACTCTTAGCACTACTAGATAAGTGGCAGTGTTCAATATGTAGTTCTACATGAGTTTATCATGATGTAAATATGGTTTTGGAATCTTTCACAAGCGCAACAAAACGAACATGATAACCTCTGCTAAGCTTTCATTAATGGTACTTATTGTAGACATGCTAATAAACTACTCCCTCGGTCCCAAAATATAAGAACGTTTTTAACACTACACTAGTGTCAAAAACGTTCTTATATTATGGGACGGAGGGAGTACTAAGCTTTCATATTAGAATATTAACGTTCGCAAGTACTTTCCTTTACTCCCAGATTCGTAGGTATGATGATCAAGGTCCAGATTCACTAATTAACTGACGGATTTTGTGCAAATATTTTGAGGTCAGGCGAAAAGAAAATCAACTTCTTGATTTCACGATTTAGCGAACATGATCAAAGAGTTGTGTAGCCATGAGGAGGCCAGCTTCACACTGGAATACTAACTTAAGCAGTCATGAGGCTGGAATGTAACACTTTACCTTCTACTTATATTTGCTACAGAAACCATCTATCTTGAACACTATGTATCATTGTTGTATTGTGTAAATTGTAGCCAAGCATATGAAATATTTCGTATATGATTCTATTGGTCAGAAGCCCTGATTTATGATTCAAGGAGTTGCCATACACCTGTAAGTATTAAAGCTAGGAAGGCATGAAGCAGACTTTTGATTTATGTACTCCATTCTTCCCAACATGTAAAGCACTTATTTGGAGGACACGACTTTGACCTGTTGTACATGCCAAAGTACGTGGATTGAACATGTTTAAAAGGTATGGTAGTATTTCTCTTGAAAAATAATTTTATTTCATGTGTGTATACTAATTTTATAGCCATACACTAAGTGAAAATAATAGTCAAAGTTGTGTGACGAAGAACATAAAAGGGCAAGCGGGCCCTACATTTTGGGAAGGAGAGAATACTATACATTTTTGGAAGAAGGGGGTATTAGTTTATTGTTATCACTTAATATCTGATTGTTTTGTTTCAAATATAAGTCTCAAATTGAGTGATTAAATTTTCTTTCCCACGTCATGCACGTGCCTCTAATCTTTACTTCTGATGATGTACCTGGACCGTAGAACCTTAATGTTCTACACTCCCAACTACACCATGCGACAGGTTGCTTCAATAAGGCTTTTGTCGGCAACGCCAAGAAAATGTTGCGACTTATACAAGAAAATGAATTCTGAAAATAATGGTCTTGTCACTAAAGTATTAGATGTAATTTAACTTTTTGAAAGTTCTCCAAAAATATATTTTTGAACGCTTCAATCTCGTAGCACTTATATGATACAGTTCAATAAACAATGCATTCGCTATAACTAAATGGATCAAATAACCTTGAACTCCAAAGTAAGCACATCAAACATTGAGTACTTCCATGATTTGATCGATAAATCATCATTATTTTATATCCTCCCGTGGCAACGCACGGGCGTTCAACTAGTCTCTGTAATAACATGATATGACAGAATTGCATTTGATTATCTGACTGCACAACACCCCCATACGGCTTCAGTAATGGAGTTAAACTGATCTCAGAAACAGAGATATAAAATGAATGAGGGGACTGAACCATTGCTAAACCAATCGGATTATTTCCCCATTGACCTAGATTTCTCGAACCCACACCGAAATGCATGTAGTTTGTATTAGAAGAGGAACGCTGAGAAGGGGACAACATAGCCCATTCTCCTGGAAATTAAGTTCATTGTAGCAATCAGCTGAGCATTTGCAGTTCCATATAATCAAACTTATATATCCTGTCCAACTCCGGCAAAAATTCTAACCCAACGATAATACTAACACCTAAATTTAGGGCACACAATAACGGAACACAATGATTTGCCACTTCAAAGAATATCTACTGATGATATGGATATGCTACATTTTTTTTCTTGCAATCGAGGAATACCATATCAAATTCTTTGGAGCAGATTATTGTCGGCTTTCAGCTTTTCACCAATAAGAATGATAGCTTAACAGACGACGAAGTATAATGCAAATGCTAACTTCTGAGCCTAACATGGAAATACTTGTAACTGTAGCATTACCTCAGTAATAAGCTTGACTTCTTAGTTCATTGAACCACGGCACCTAAACAGCCAGCACATAGTTAGCAAGTGAAGGAGTAAAAGAGAAATATCCTAAAAAATGGCACAAACAACTATCTCAAAAAAATAAGGATAAGATTAAAATAAAACAAGTTCAATGGTAGCATAAATATTGTATCAGATGAATAAACACACAATTATTCTACGCGCACTCCCAAGCTCCAAAAAAATTGAGTTTGAGTACTGGCTATTTTGGGCTCAGGTCCACATGATGGTGGGACGGTCAGTGGCAAGCGTAGAATTCCAGAATACATCCCAAGCAAATTACAGGAAATAGCACGACAAAGAAAATCAATGAGAAAAAAGACGTCATTCAATTTAGCAACATATGAATTCATATGTATGTAGATCATAGTTTAAAATCTAGTTGGCTAATCAAAGTGGGTAGCAGGAGTATTAGTTCCTGGTGAGAGTGTCATTTCCAGCTGTCAATTGTTTTGTACTTTATTCGCTATTGGGTCATACTGAAACTTACATAATACTGAAAGTTTAAAAGAAGAATGAAGGTTCACAGCGATCAGAGCAG